AACATTACACCAATCTTTCTCTCCCTTCTAACATGGTATCAGCATTATCTCGATCCTAAACCCTAGCCGTCGTCGCTTCCGCCCCCGCGCGCCGCCCCTGGGGCGGTCGGCCTCCATGACCCCCACCGGGGACCGCGCCACCCGTACCTAGGGTTCGTCCGCCGGTCGTGTTGGTCGGCCGCCCTAGAGAGTCTTTTTCCCGAGCCCTTGCTCCGAGTTATTTCGCTCTCTCGCCGATCGTTTTGATCGATGTTTTTTTTGGTTTTCCGGTCTATACTTGATCGGTTTGCGTTGCCCGTCGCCGCTGTCGACACCCCGCACCTCTACTCCGACACCGGCGCGACCGGCTGGCTACTTCATTGACCCGGCGGCCTCGCACGACAGGTAGCCCTCAAGGCCGTCGTCCGCGCGCCGGCCCGCCCGTCGTCCTGCGCCGGCCGTCACCGCCCTGCTTCGACCGGGACACCTGCATCGTCTACACCCTGCGGCCCCGCACCATGCGGCGGCCAATCATAGCCACCGCTCGCGCGTTGGGCCACCAATTGATCCATGCCACCCGCCTCCGCCGCGTCTGCACGGCGGCCCGGCGGTTGCGGCGCCAATCGGCGCGAGGCCAATGTCGCCCGCGGTTGTCGGAGTAGATGAAGCGGTCGGGGTAGATGACGGCGACGCTGGCGACAGGCTGCTGCTGGACGAAGACGAAGGGGGTGGATGGGCGGCTGCGGCGGCTACGGGGGTAGCGACGGCGACAACCGAAGAAGAGCGGCGGCGGCGGCAGCGGCTAGGTTAGGAGCGCGGCGGCGATGCTCGAAGTAGGCGAGCTCCCGAGGTCAGACCGCAGGCTGGGGCGCCCGAGGAGGGTGCCATGGGCGGTTCCTCCCGAGGCAGCGTCGGGCCTACTGCGGGGGGAGCCACCGATGGCTTGAAGAGCCGCTCTTCGAAGACGCCAGACTTCCGGGGTTCGCGTCGGGACACCCTTTTGGCGATGACGTCCACCTCCTTATTCGTGCCATGCGGTACGTGCTGCAATTCCAATCCCAAGAATCATTTTTCAATTTTGCGTACCTCTTCTAGGTATGCCTCCATGTGCTCGTCTTTTGGCTTGTACTCCTTGTTGGAGAAGTTGACGAGGAGCGAGAGTCGCCCTTGATGGTGAGACGCCTGACCCCCAGAGCCGCGCGGCCTTGAGGCTGGCGATCAGGCCCTCGTATTCCGCAATGTCGTTGGAGACCTTCTCACCATGCTGGAAGCAGAGCTGCACGGCGTAGTAGAGCTTGTCCTGGGTAGGTGAGATGAGCACGGCTCCAGCCCCCATGCCCTGTCGTGCGAACGCGCAATCAAAGTACATGACCCAGCTATCCGATGCTTCGTCTCCGGGCGTGAGGGAACGGTCCTCGCCCACCCCTCGGTCAGGGGCGTCAGTCCATTCCAGCACAAAGTCAGCGAGGGACGCGGCCTTGATGACTCTGGTGGTGCTGAACTCCAGCTGGAATGCTTGCAGCTCGATGTTCCACTCGGCAACCCTCCCCATGGCATTAGGGCTGTGGAGCACCATCTCCAAGGGGAACATGGAGACAACCTTGATGGGGTGGTCTTGGAAGTAGTGGCGCAGCTTCTTGGAGGCGATGAGGAGTGCGAGCAGGAGCTTCCGTGGCATGGGGTAGTTCGCACGCACGTCATGCAGCACCGTGCTGACGAAGTACATGGGGTGCTCAACGAGGGAGGATGCGTCGATGGCGTCCTGCCCCTCTTGAGACGAAGGAGCCTCCGGAGCCTTGCCATCCAGTTAGGTTGTCGGGGCCTCAGAAGCGCCGTCCTGAGGTGGCGATGACGCGGTCAGGCACGGGGCTCTACACCGCTCACCCACATCCGCGCGCTCTTCCCAGACCACCACGAGTGCCTCGCTGGCTGAGTGGGGTGTGGCGGGCAGGTAAAGCACCATGGGCTCAAGAGGACAAGGTGCCACCATTATCGGCGGGCTGGTGAGGTACCTCTTGAGATCTTGGAAGGCCGCCTCGGCCTCCGGAGTCCATTCAAACGGGCCCTTCTTCTTCATCAGTTTGAAGAACATGAGTGCACGCTCGCCTAGCTTGGAGATGAAGCGCCCCAACAAAGTCACGCAACCCACGAGCTTCTGCATCCCCTTGAGGGTCTGCGGTGGGCTCATCCTTTCTATCGCATTGATCTTCTCTGGGTTAGCCTCGATCCCTCTATGTGACACCAGGAAGCCCAGCAATTTGCTGGACGGGACGCCGAACACGCACTTTTCCGGAATGAGCCGCAGGTTTACCTTGTGTAGGTTGGCGAAGTTTCCTCCAAATCTTCGACGAGGGTCCTCGCC